CCCCCACCCGCCCCATCTTCTGTGTTTCTTCTGCCACCTCCAGAACGCTTGCTCTTTTAATGTCATGGGAGGCCTGATGTCCTCTCGGTGACCTGTGTGCGATAACCCGCGCAGGCTGGCCGCTGTCCCGCGTGCGCGGAGAGCCGCCGTCTTCGCCCTGGCGGGCGTTCAGCCTCGCCACGCTGCCTAGGTCGCACACGTTAGCTTAGAGAAATGAAAACGCTAATTAAGGTGTGTAAGCCGTGATTTTTAATTGGAGCGCTTTATTTCACTGCAGCCAATCCGTGCTGCTCCAACCCGTGCCAGAACAGAGGAGTATGTATGACGACGGGATTCGATCGATACGAATGTGACTGTACGAGGACGGGATTTTACGGGGAAAACTGCACAACACGTAAGTATCTCGGCTGTGCTCGCATGGAAGTAACTTGCGGTTCTAGAACTGAAGTGCTAGGGTCGCTTTTTTTGTCGCAAATAGCTAACTTAGACTAATCTTTCTGTCAATGCTCCCAGCGGAGTTCTTCACGTGGCTGAAGCTAACGCTGAAACCTGCACCAAATACCGTCCACTACATTCTCACCCACTTCAAGGGCGCCTGGAATATCATCAACAACATTCCCTTCTTGCGTGACACTATTATGAGATACGTGCTCACCTGTAAGTATGAGGTCTTTGTTCTGATGCCCTTAACCGGTAGAAGTTACGTGCAGCGCTCTAAAGCGTCACACTTGGCTTGTTTAAATATAAAGCAGCAAGCTAAAACGCACAAAGGTAAAGACAGTCCAAATAAAACTTGTGGTTTTTCAGCACGCTGCAGGCTTGTGTGAAACTCGCTTCCAAAGGGGAATGTGTTTTGCTCTCCTGTGTCTAATAGAATCCAGAATTTTGTTAACACTAACATCAGAAATCTGGCAAAGTTATAGCTGGATCCAGCTGACAATCCTGGGCCTGCTTTTGTTATTCAGTAACCATAATCCCATTTAACTGCACTAATTGAGTGGAATTTGTCAGTGTGATTGAGGCCAAAAACGCTTGGAAGATCTGGCCCTGTTTTTATTTCTCAAGACTAAAATGTACAGTTTTAAAACAAACTAAAAATACAGGTGTGTTTTTTTTTCTTTCAGCAAGATCACATTTGATTGACAGCCCACCAACTTACAATAGTGACTATAATTACAAAAGCTGGGAAGCATATTCCAATCTCTCCTATTACACAAGAAGCCTTCCACCAGTAGGACATGACTGCCCAACACCAATGGGTGTTAAAGGTAAGGAATAGAACAGAATTCCAGGAAATTCCAGGCCTTGAAAGTCTAAAAGGCCTGCTTATACTCTGCTACTCTCATGAAAATCAACCACACTGAAACGGTTATGTATTGGACCTGTGGTGTGAAGATGTAAAAGATAACCATTCCAAGTTCAGTTAATGAGCTACATGCTAAAACTGGAGATTTTTAATAAAATCAAGGAAGTATAAAATGAAGAAAGTGAGTATAGAAAGGTATATGACTATAACCAATGACAAACAGGCATTACCTTTGTCTGCTGCTATCCTTAGTTGCATCAGTTGAAAATCTGTCTTAGTTTTAATACTTAATCAGTTCTATTTCTAATAAGAAAATAATATAGTTGTCTCAAATAGCTCCTTTTCTCTAATATCAGGCAAAAATAACTTGGTGCGTTCTCTTTCTTTGTAGGTAAGAAAGAGCTCCCAGACTCAAAGCTGATTGTGGAGAAATTCTTGCTGAGGAAAAAATTTATTCCTGACCCACAAGGCACAAATGTGATGTTCACATTCTTTGCTCAGCATTTCACTCATCAGTTCTTTAAGACGGACCAGAAGAAAGGACCTGGCTTCACCAAAGCTCTTGGCCATGGGGTAAGATCATAGCTCTGTAACTTGAACAGAGCTCTTAGCAGCCACTGAACTAAAATGGTATCTTACAGGTAGCCAGAGCGCACAAACACTGGTGCTTGCGCTGTGCAACATCAGGCAAAATTCCAGCAACCCAAGAGCATCCCTTACTGGGTCAGGACCGCACATGCAAAGCAAAATAGTTCTGTTTAAAATCTCTGTAAAGGGATCTGTACAGTGTATTCTTCCAAAGCTTACTTTAACACAAAGCATGTTGCATTTAGTGAGCATCCAAAACTACTCTATTGGACTCTTCCTGTCAGTTGCAAAGAGCTGTATATAGGACTGTGAAATGTCTTGTCATATGATGCTGACTGAAGAGACTTGATATAAAAATTGCAGCAGCAAACTGCTACAGCAAATATCTCCAAAATGGATAGTCTTTGGACAAAGACTTTCTTTGGACAAAGAATTTTTCAATGTAAATGTAATGCATATATACACTGCTTATGTTTTTCTGCTTTAGACAGAGCTGTCTGCATAATAAAAAGCTGCAGGCATGTTTTAAGGAGGTCTCTTAAATAGACTGACCATTTATAAACTCATTATTAGGCAGAGTTTGTTCCAGTGTCTAAGAAATAATTTGGCTTCATCAATGCATCATTTTTATAAAGTGCTAATCATCTAATATAATTAAGTTAGATGTCTAAGGCTCTGACTCCTGTTGGCTTCCACAGAAGTGGACTTATCCTAAAATAGAACAACAAAAAAAAAAGTAGTTTGACTTCATGTTCCAAATACCTTTGTTTTATAGGTTGACTTGAACCACATTTATGGAGAGACTCTGGAGAGACAACTTAAACTGAGACTTCTTAAGGATGGAAAGCTAAAATACCAGGTATGGGGGTGGGGGGTGTTTGCTTTTTTTGTTGTGCTTTGTTTTTTGGGAAGGGGGGGGCTAACTTGAAAATCCTACTGGATTTGACAAATACTATTCCTATTGGGTGACAAATACGTCTTAAAATTCACCCTGTGTTCACAATGTAATTCGTATTTAAATATAATCCTAAAGTCAGACAAAGTGCTGACAGTCAATATGATTTAACTCCTATGCATTATAGCTTATGGCTTTTGTTTTGTTCTCTTCTCTCCTTCCCCCCACCTCAGATAATTGATGGGGAAATGTATCCACCCACAGTGAAGGACACTCAGGCAGAAATGTTATACCCACCTCACATTCCTGAACACTTGCAGTTTTCTGTTGGGCAGGAGGTGTTTGGTTTGGTCCCAGGTTTAATGATGTATGCTACGATATGGCTCAGAGAACACAATAGAGTCTGTGACATCCTGAAACAGGAGCATCCAGAATGGGATGATGAGCGACTGTTCCAAACTACTAGACTCATACTGATAGGTGAGTATCTCTTTTATAGTATGCAAGTTTAACTTGTTGTCTCAAGTGTGACACTTCTACCCATGGGCAGCTGCAATAGATTTAGTAAGAGAAGAAATATTACTTAAATCAGTGTCTGAGCACCTACTTCAGGCAGAGGTTATGAAGACTCGGATGTATGATCGAGTTTGCTCCTAACTGTGTTAAATACAAAACTGAAGAAAATTGAGTCAAGTGACACTAATTCCCTTACCTAAAGGGAACAGAACTGAAAGCAGTGAAAAAGCAGGAAGCTATGCTTAGTGCTCAGACAAAGCATGTGAGGCCAAATACCCTCAGTTGCTCCCAAATTGTCAGGTCTTGTTTTTTTTTTTTCTGGGATTGAGTCAGTTCAGGTAGAGTTTAAGAGAAACGCTGTGATTAACTTGAACTTTTGAGATTTAAGTAAAAAGTAATTTTCTATGCTATTTTGTATAATTTTGTTCAGGGGTATTTCCTCTTATGTTGGAGGCATGTTAAGTTTGGAAAGAGCTCTGCCCAAACTGTCCCCAAAACAGTAAAATGGGGAAAAGGCAACTGCAGTAAGCAGTTCAGAAGCAGAGATTTTCTTTTCCATGTTGACTTTTTAAGTCATTACCTACCTCCACCTTAGATAATATTGTGTAATTCTACACCATGTAGATGCCTAGATATACTTTCTCGGAAGATCTGCGGAACACAGAGGAGTCTATCTCTAGAGGAGAACAAACTATAGAAAGAATACTTCCTATCACAGCCTCCCCTTACTGTGAATAATCTTCTATAAAAGATAACAAATATTCCTCAACATTCTGTAATCTTGGTCATTAGAGTATCTTTTTGGAACAGTGTAGAAATGGTATTTGCTCTCAGAGCACGGTAACCACCTGGAACTTCTCAGGGAAACAGTACCAATATTCTCTTCCATTTCTCCTTACCAACAGGAGAGACGATCAAGATTGTTATTGAAGACTACGTACAACACCTGAGTGGCTACCACTTCAAACTGAAGTTTGATCCTGAGCTGTTGTTCAACCAACGCTTTCAATACCAGAACCGCATTGCAGCTGAATTCAATACTCTGTACCACTGGCATCCGCTTCTGCCAGACACTTTTCAGATACATGACCAGGAGTACACTTTCCAGCAGTTCCTCTACAACAACTCTATAATGCTGGAACATGGCCTTTCCCATATGGTCAAGTCTTTCTCCAAGCAAAGTGCTGGCAGGGTAAGCTTTTGTGTTTGCTTTCTCAAGTTACTAGTGTCTCAACAGAGATGTAAATAGCAGGTGGGGTGGTGGTAAAATAAAGCTATCCAAGATACCAAAACTACCAAGATAATGTAAAGACACAAATTCCTTAATGACTTTATCTGGAGATTTTACCTTTCTTTTGTCCTTATTAAATAGGAAAAAAAAATTCCTGCTGCAGTACAGAAGGTAGCAAAAGCTTCAATTGATCAAAGCAGACAAATGAGATACCAGTCCTTGAATGAGTACAGGAAGCGCTTCATGTTGAAACCATTTAAGTCATTTGAAGAACTTACAGGTAACGGTTCTTCTCTCTAACAGACAAGCGCCCTTTTCTTAAAAAGGGCGCACAGAAGCCTGAAACATGACTTCTGAACTGTTACACGAGTGCTGTGACAAAAATAAGCTTGCTTACTTACTATTTTTACTTATCAATAATTACAGGAGAAAAAGAAATGGCAGCAGAACTGGAAGAGCTTTATGGAGACATTGATGCTATGGAGCTGTATCCAGGCCTCCTAGTAGAGAAGCCACGACCAGGTGCTATCTTTGGTGAAACAATGGTAGAAATTGGAGCACCCTTCTCTCTGAAAGGACTGATGGGAAACACTATCTGCTCCCCTGAGTACTGGAAGCCCAGCACTTTTGGTGGAAAAGTGGGCTTTGAAATAATCAATACTGCCTCCTTCCAGAAGCTCATCTGCAACAATGTGAAAGGCTGTCCTTTCACTGCTTTCCATGTCTTAAATCCTGAACCCACAGAGGCAACCATTAATGTTAGTACCTCCAACACAGCAATGGAAGATATCAACCCCACATTACTACTGAAAGAGCGATCTGCTGAGTTATAAAATATCCACCTATTTATTTATTTAATTATATAAATTATTTTATTTATAACTTAATTATTTCTTTTTTTAAAAGAGCTCATTTGTCTTCACTTTGGGGTTTGCCCTAGATTTCTTGCTCAGGTAAGGCTTCCATTTACAAAAGGGATTTTCTGTGTTTGAGCTCAACAGTAGCAAGTCCCTTGTTTAAAATCTTCTGTAACAGAACTATGTATTCCAAAGTGGACAGAGGTTCCAATTTTTTAATACTGCTTTAATACTTGACAGAAAGAGCATCTTGTTGTGTGTGGGGTGGTGCGGTGGTGTGTGGTGTTTTTTTTTTTTTTTAAACTTGATAGGGCACAACACTACAAAAGCAAGTTACTGCCTCAGCTTTTTAGACTTGAAAATAGGCTGTAAAACTAAAAGGACAAAACACTTAAATTTACTGCAATTGATAATCTTCTTGGCAGTTTTCATTATTGGCACTCCAAGATAAATAAAAGATTTATATGTACTTATGCAACTTTTTGTTATGTAAACTCAGAAAACGAGTTGCATTTCCTCATTGATACTACCTCTCCCTTGTTGCAAATAAGGCACTTTGTACAGTAACTTACACGTTCTTTTTTTGTGTCTAAATCTGTGCTTTCCTGTGGCATTACTCTCTATTATTATTATTTAAAGAGAACAGAACTTGTCTTGCATCCTACTTGTAGCTTTGAAGCACATCACAAAAGTATTATTTGTGCTGGGGATGGTCTTAGTGGTACTGAGGTAGGAATAACTGACCATCACGCTGGAATTCAAGGTTGCTTCTACTCTGATAGCGATGTCGTATTTTGCAACTTTGGGAAGCTCTTAGATTCCAAAGTATTAGTGTTCCTTCCATAGCTGTAGTTTTCTGGTCTACTTGATAATGTAACTTTAATCTTTGTCACTTTAAGGACAAATGGACAGTATAGTTTTAGTTAAGGATATGACTACAGTGTAGAATTATCCCAGCTACTTAGTAGTTAGTTAGCTTGGTTCTACTGCATGTACCTGAAAACATCGTTGAGATCATTGGGGGATAGGGAGGGAGGGATAGCAGGGGATAGTAAAAACGGGGAAGCTGTGTAAGCATATGCAGCAAAAATGAATCCAGAACTGATCTGGCAAAATTTCATAGTGCCAGGACTTGAAGTTAGTTTAGGTCTACGTACACAAGCTGTAGTCATGCTTTAGGGTTTTATTTATTTGGGGGGGTGAGAGGGGAAATAAAGTTTTGCTTTATAACTTATAAACAGGGGCATTTTAAGTAAGTATTTTGTGCTAACTGGCCAACTTCTCTTAAGATTAAAAAGATTCTATGCACATTTGTCCTGATCCAGCGCTAAAATCTCTAGTCTTACCTGGGCACATAAGAATTGACACAGCATTTTTTTAACTAGTACTTCAAAACTTGCATAGAAGGCTGTGGGGGTCTGTTTGTTTGCTTGTTTTAATTTCTGGAGGGGAAATGTAGGATGTCTTATTAAAAACAGCTTAGGAACTATAGGCAAAAAGAAGGTCACTCCAGACTGGAAGAGAGAGGCAACACAGTACTTTGTGCTAAGAAAAAGATAAGTAAACTCATGGCTACTTACAAAAAGGACCTCAATCTCATATTACATCTGAATTTCTCCAGCCTCTTTGTAGAGGCTCAGTAATACATAATAAGGGCTATGCTACTACTACTATGGTTTGACTGTGACTTCTGTGTCCCTGTTAATTTGTCTAAAGACATTGACTACCTTTTGCAGTGCAAGTTTGTAATCCTTAATGCAAACAGCTGAAGATCTCCCATTGTAATCAATACTAGTATCTGATTTGAGATGGTCTTTGATTATAGATGCTCGGGGTGCAGGAGAAGCATTTATTTTAGTTTTCTACTTGAAGCACTAAGAGGACAAGTTTCAGTCAATTCTGCCTGAAAGGTGGTCAGCACTGTAAATGTTAGTAAGTGAAAATTATTTAGCTATCTGCAGTTGTCATTCAAATGCATCTTTGGTGGAAGGCTGCTCTGAGAAAGTGTATTCCATTAACAAGGGAAAAGAAAGGAAAACTGTTGGGCTTAAATTCAAAAGGAGACAACTCTAGACAGATCTAGTTATTTTGGGGTAGACAAAAATGAGTTGACAAGATTTAAGTCAATGTTAAGTTATAAGCTGGTTCAGAAAGGAATCACGTTCACCTTGCATTTTGTACTTTACAGCCATGCTTTGGCAGTCACTTATCTGTTACCCAACCTGCTGGGTTAGGCTGGGTTCAAATTGCTCATGATAAATGTGTATGTCTGCAATTATTTATTTAAAATGCTATGGAATTGTTTTTACTTTATTTTTGTAGAACAAAAATTTTTTAAATGCAGTTGTTTATATAAATAAATTGAAAATATTACCTGTATGGACTCGTGTGCTTATAACAGATAATTTTAGGGACTTACTTCAGCACTACATCATATGAAACAACTCTTTCCTCTTATTTTTTCCCCTGAAGTTTAAAGGGAGAATTCATGAAAACTAATAATACCTGGGGCTGCAGCTAGCTTAGGATCTAGAATTCACCACTCACCAGTGACTGTTGGTTTGGGTGGTTGCTGTGGTTTGTAGCAGTTTAAGGAGGTGGAGCCTACTAAAAGGCTTGTGGACATCTCCTCAAGAGTTGTTCTGTTTACAAATAGCATGATCTCTTTAGGAGCCGCCAGACCAAGCAGCTAGCCTCCAGCTTTCCTTATGAAGGACAACAAAAAGGTACTGAGACAAAAGAGGAGTAAGAGAGAGCACAGTCCTGAGGAAAGTAACTTAGTACAGTGCTGTTGCACATGAACATAATGGACAAAAACAGCTTTTGGGCCAGAGCTAGTCTCCCAGTGCTAACTGAGAGAATGACCAGCCCTCTACTTCTCTCCCACGCTAAGGCAAAGGTATTTCTTCCTCCCATATTACTGATAGAACAAAATGTTAAACTGAAGCCACAGGGAAGGGAGATTTAGGGACAACTTTTGCAAAAACATGTTACTCTTTTTGCAAAATACAAAAATGGCCCTACAGCCTACCTCCTCTGTCTCTCAAGGAGGCATTGCCTGTAACTGAAATCATCCAAAGATGGTTATTTTCCTCTTCTGTCACCAGTGAAAAGGAAGTTCAGCTTACAAAACCCCATTACACTATGTTCACCAGAAAAAAGATGCCAGCCACGCTAATCCCCTGAGTACTCAACTGCTTTAGAGGGAAGGCATAATGTCAGAGTCACGTACCGCTGAAGTGGTATAGCCAAGCTCCCTGGGCTGCTAGTGAGCATTAAGACTTACCCAAGCAAGAGCAGTTCTTGGGCATCTCTCTCTAAAATTGGCAGACTCCAAGGCAGAAACAGTACTTTGGGATACAGCTTACTGCAGGACATGGTCTTCACATTACCCACCATCTTGCTTGTTTGCAGCTGTGGTAGATTGCCACTATGGTTGCATAACAAGCCTTGTCTGAAGCAGACTGGGCCAAGCCACCTGTGACAGCCACATCTTTGCTGCTGCCATTAACTCTTTGCCCTCTCTCTGCAACAAGGCCCAGCTGCCAAGATTGCTAAGGGGACACAAGCAAGAATAGTAGATGCCATTGCTTGCTCCTCTCACTCTTGATTAACTTTGCAAAGATGGACACAAGCTGGAAAGGTGGGCAGTGTGACAAGTACAAGAGCAGTTGCGGGCTTAATACCTCTCATGCACCTTGTACTGCCTCAGTAAACTATTACCACCTCACCCAGCCACCGACCAAATGTCACCCTTCAGTTAGTTAGTTACCCTTCCCTCCTCAGTACACCACTGCCATCCTACAACCTGAGCCAACACAGCGCTCTCCCTGTTACTCCCTCATCCCAATGTTGGCCCTGTCCTCGCACAGCCCAGTCCTGGTCACCAACCTAAAGTCATCTTCTTTCCCAACACCCCAAATCCACTTTGGACCAAGGAGCATCCTAGTCACTCATGGCTCCTAACACTGCCCCATTACACTTCAGCCCTGGTAGTACTATGGTCTTTCTGCCTCCGTGCTCTGGAGCTCTCTCTGGTTTCAGCCAATGTGCAGCCTCTCATGATACTTTCCACGCAGCTCCCATATACTCCTGCTATACCCAGGCACTTAAAAAACCTTCAGTGACTCTCCTCAACTTAAAATTCAGCCTCCCAGTCACCTTCAGCCCCCTTCACCTAAAACCATGACACCTCAAGGAACCCCCAACAGCATCACCCCAGTCACCCTCTCCAGCTGGCTCCCGGTCTCACTGTGCAAAGGAAGGCAGGTGCAGACGTCATATGAGTAATGCAGGTTTTGGGGTTTTTTTTTCTTTTTTTTTTAATAGCCAGTCAACTCATTCATTGTATGATTTAATTCATGTCTGACAATTCTTATGGCCTTCAGTTTGAAGGGGAGAAAAGAATTGACCTGCCTGCCCCTGGGTTACGAAGCTCCTGCCAGGTCGCTCAAGTGAAGACCAGCTATGACAAAGCCAAAGAGCTGCTGCTCGAACCGGTAACTGCACAGTCACTCTTACACATCTGTTTGCTCTGGCCCACTCCATCCTGCAGTATTTCCCCGCAGCTGGCGAGAGCAAGCACACCTCATACCGGAGCACCCTGCGGCCCTGTCTCGTGGGCAGCCTCCTGGAAGGTGGCTCAAGCAACTGCCCTGACTCAGCGAGAGGGAGGGTGCAGATAAACTCCTGCAGCTCTGATCAAGCACTACAAGAAACAAATCATTTCGTAGGAAGGAAATGAAGGCAAAGCCATCAGCATTTTGCACTCTTACATTTTGTTTAAAAAAAAAAAGAAAAGAAACAAAAAGAAAAAAAAGATTACTTATTTCAGGCCAAAAAAATTGCATTTATTCAATGCCAAACAGTTCCACACTTTTATTTCAAGTATTCTGGAGGCAAAAAAAAAAAAAAAAATTCTCTTGCAGGTCTTCCCAAAAAAAAAAATTCCATTTGGTCCAAACAGACCAAACCAACTATTCCCTGAGACCTAGAGAGGAGGGAACAGGAAGATTAGAAATTGCCCGGGGGCCCTACAACACGGACACCAAAAAACGCAGCCACAGCAGCCATGCAGCACATAGAGAAGGGAGAAGATGAGCAGTTAGACGGGTCACAAGACAGAGAGAAAGACGCTGAGGACAGTGGTTTCCACAGCACTGCTCCGGTGGAGGAGGACGGGCTAGGCTTTTCCTTAACTACCGCTACCAGCCCAATGGCGAGGTGCTACGCAGGGAGGTTCAGCAATGAGAGCGTAATGAGAAGGTCATCCATGGAGAAGTGTTTCTGGTGACTGCTGCCCTAATTAGGGAAGGGCCAGGTCAGGATGGATTCAGCGCATGATGGATGAGAGAGTTCAAACATAGAAGAGCTCCTCCTTCCCTCTGAGCAGAGGCATGCCCTGATGATACAAGAGGCAAGAATGTTCCTTGGAGGAAATCTGCCCTGTGAAATGTTTGTTCTCAGTATATGACTGAGGTAACTGTTTCACCCAAGACGATGTAGAAAAGGGGAGAAAGCCGGGGGGGGAAAGGGGGTGCGCACTTCAGCCACGCGCTTGAAGGAGGGTTTGTCAGGGTTCACAGAAAGCTCTTTAATGGGTTTTGCGAGGAGGTCGCTGTATGCGATCACCTTTACCGAGGGCTTTTGCTGTACGTCATTGGTTCACTTGTCCGCTGCATAAGAGGTCTTTATGGGCACTGAGTCGGAGCCCCATGGGCAGTACGAACAAGTTTATTACTTCTGATACACTCGCTGGAGGTGCACTGACCTTTACGGTGGAAAACTAGTTCTCCCAAGCCAGCCACGTTACAGCCTACTGTACGTGAGCTGGATTTCAGGAGATATTTGTATCACAAGAGAGACTTGGGTGTTGCTACCAAATACCATTCTGCTTTCTAGCACAGTCTAAAAAAAATATCATCTAGGAAACTGGCAGGCTACATAACCTCTAGAAAGGATACAGGCTAAACCCAGGTAGCAGAAGACTATTCTGAAAGTGAGACTGAAACATCCCTATTTCCTTATATGCTCACAGCTACTGAAAGAGGTGATCGTCTCTGGAAAAGTTTATTGTGAAGACAACCTCTTTCTTTTGGAAGACTGGAAAGGAAAAAACCTGCAAGTTCTAATACATATTGGACAGAAAAGAGAAAGACATAGCTATACACTCTAAATATGGAAAAGGAGATGAACAGAGAGATCCTAATGATCAGGTTTTTCCTAAAAGATCTAAAAAGAGACCAAAACCATGCAAGGCAGAAATGCAGTAGCATCAAAGGAACATTATAAGGAAACTTCTCTTTCTGGGGGGGCTGGTTTGTCCTTGCTCTTTAATCTGAAGCTTCAGTTTGGAAAGAACATTTTGATGCAATGTGGTTCCAAGTTGTATTTCTTTTTTTCCTGATAACTATTGTTAAAAAAAAAAAAAAGGTAGGAAAACTCCTGTGACTCCTATGCTTAATTGTTTTACAAATCCGGACATTTTAATTAACATTGACCAGAGGCTTATCAAGGATCCTCAGTTCAGGAGGGAGACAAACAAGAAAGCAGATGTCAAGGAAATGGAAAAGGGCAACATAAGAATTTCATCAATTTACTTTACTGGGATTTTCTCTGACTGAAAAAACAGACTGAATTGAAAATCTCAGCATTCACCGGCAGCCTCTTTAAAGCTTCTCAGCTGACTTGAGGAAGTAAATATTCAGAGATGGCCTGGGCAAATAGAGAGCTGAACATCATCAGTACAGCGATGATACTAGTTTGGGAGATCCGACTAGTTTACCATAGGGAGAAGGCAGGGAACAAACATCGAGCGGGTCTAATCACAACTGACCCGTCTTAGCTGCTAGTCTTCAGGTCTGAACAAGCCAAGCCATTTTATCCAAAAAGACGCAATATTAGCCATCTGACAGAAAGAAAAATCACTGAAATCCCAAATCTGTGGAAAGTCTATGGGAAGAAGACAAATAACTTTCAAAACTTCTACTTTCAACCAAGCCAGAGCAAACCAGCTGAGGGTCTAGCCCAGAGCCGGGCATGTCTACAGAAACCCGCTCACCTCATCCTCCAGCTTTCAGACCTAATTTTTCAGATCACCTCACTGTACAGCCATTGTCTGTTTCTATCCAAGTATATAATGCAAACATTTGGTAAATGTCTGTCATATAAGGACTTAATCATTGACTTAATCAGAATTGCATTAGGGTGTCTGTAGATATTGCTGTCCTCTGTCAAAACTGAGGATGATTAAAAGCTGGAAGTAGAGATTTCAGCAAGATTTAAAAAGTAAGGAAAGTATCCGCTTTTCTTTACTTTTTAATTCTGGGCACAAAAACA